GTGTGTGTGTGCGCGTGCGTGTGTGTGTGTGCGTGCCGTGTCCCGCCGCTATGCATACGAAGGTATAGTCGTGGGCAGACAGACCAGTACCCATAGCTGCCCGTTTGATTTGTACAGAACGTAACATGTACATAGTATTCGCTCCAAAAGCCTGTGAAAGCTTCTTAGAGTAGGCAATTGTTTGCATGGTCTTGCAAATTGTGTCGTTATTGAGTAGCATCGGTTTATGGAAAGAAAACCATGTTTTTGATATCTATGTGCAATACCCTGAACACAATTCCCCTAGTTCTTTTCTTTATTTTCAAATGTTTCTGTTTCGGTTTCTCTCTTGTGCTGATTTTCTCGTGTTGCATAGGTTAGAGCTTCACCAAAGGCTTTCTCGCTCTCTCTCTCGCTCTCATGCTTTTCTCTCTGCCGTTCTCATGTACATAGTTTGCTGAAGTACATAAGCTGTGGAATGTAGTGGAAAAATGTGTGAGCTCTTAATTTATTCAATATACATGTAGCTACGCTTCCCTTTTTTGTGTCAATAAGTCATTTGTTTCCTTTGCGTCTTTTTGTGTTGCTTGATTTCAGACAATTGTTACACACCTCCGTATATCTTTCAAACTATTCAGTCTTGTTTAAAATTTTGTGAATCCCCTGTAGTTGAATTATTTACTTGTGCAATGTGAAAGACTCTAAAGGAGAGGTGAACGAAACGAAAAAAGGGTACATTTCAGGCGTACTAATTAAAACCTTCTTGAATGTGATGACTTTTGCTTTAGCAATTCAATGGCGATTTGAATAAGATGTGTTTTATTGTTCTTTTAAAAGTGGTTGCTGACCTTTTATTTCTGTCTGAAGTTTCTTTTTGTTTCGTTGCTTTTTTTAAACGTGTCTGTGGGTTGATCACGGTAGCTAGGTCAATGTTGCCGATTGTCTTTGAAGCCTTTTCTCTCACAGGCACTTTCCTGTCTGTCACCCTCACTGTTTCATGCCAAATGTCTTGTTCAGCTTTATTTTCTCCTGTTGTTTCCTTTTTAACTGTAAAGGAATGAACTTGATATATAGGACGCATCCATGGTCTGTCTTCAAAGTCAAAACAGAGTAAATAAACTAAGAATTACCTCTTAAATGAAGTGCAAATATTTCTCTGGCTGAATATTGAATATTTGCGCATACAGTATTAAAATACATAAATGTTTCATATGTATGATAGTGCTGTATTATATACATCTGGTATTGGACTTTAGTTTCTGTATGGTGAAGCTTCATGTGCACAGAGGTATTTCTTTTCTGGATACACTAGCGTTATCTCGTAAGCATTTTACTATGTGCCAAATGTACTGTCATCTAAAGGATGTGAATGTTTGTTTAACCTATTAAACCCCAAGATGTATGAAAAATGATGTGTTTTGGTGATATGTTGCAAGAGGATTATGTGCACACACACACACCCACCCATACCGATGAAACAGAACATCACATTTCAAAAGTAAAATAGAGGCTAGAGGTTTGGCTACTTGTAAGTCTCAGAAATACAGTGCAACAAAAAAAAAAACTTGCATGTAAGGACATTTAAAGTGTTTTGGATTATTTGAATGGCTCACAAATCATCTAAATAATATAATGCCTTAAATCTGCTGATACCAAAAGGTTTCTCTGAAGGTTTTGGGGTCAGTAAACCTCCCCTCACCGAAAACTGTTGTGCGACGTCAATGAGATGTTCTTGCTAACATGGTGAAACCAACATGCATGTGTGTGCATTATTGCAAATGAGCTTTACGTAAGCTGTACTTCAACAGTCATCAAAGAAAAAGCCTAAATGGAAATGTTTGAGGTGCACAGATGCAAACTTCTCAAAACATGTGACTATTTCTAACCATTCCGATTATGATTTACATCAACTCCATGGTTTCTGAAGTCATAACAAGGGATCGATTACATGTTTGTTTGCATGGTATACTGGTAGAAGCCTCTTATTAAATGGGAATGGGTCCAAGATAGAGTTGAACTAAAGTTAAATCTGTTCCGATTAAACCATAGGGCCTAGGCCTACTCCTGGAAAAGACGCTTTACTGTTATTTTTTCCATGGTCGACGGTCATTTTTGTTTGTTTGTCCACGTTCAGAGATTAAAATTCAGCCCTGAATCGTTTTGGATCCTTCTTGGACACTTCACGTGATGTTTGTTTTAAATGAGACATTGAAACTGATCTTTTTCACAGGCCAAATGCGCACAGAACTACTGAGCACGCATGTGTGAAGAGGAAGTGAAGGGGAAGACCACCAATCAGTGCACAGAGCTGATACACGCGCAGCGCAGCAGCGGCGCTCACGAGCTCTTTACCAGCGTCCGGTCAGTCAGCGTCACTCTGGAGAGGTAGTGCGATCCTCGGCAGTGTTCTGAGACTGCACTAAACTGCTCCGGTCATTACTGGAAATGTCATGAGAATGGACGTTACGGAGGACAAATAACTAAATAAAGGCATTTGTGAGAAAATACACGTTTAAACTTTTTTTTTTTCCGGAAAAGTTAAGTGAATTCATTATACGCAAGTCAAGGTTGTCTTCAGCATAGGCGCATCATGACAGCCGAGAGAGAGAAAAAAAGGTAAGGCGCAGGAAACTTTTCATTACTGCGTATATTATCAGTTATGTATTTTCTTGAGTTGTTTGCCTTAATTTAAGATTCTTAGGTGAGATTTGACGTATTGCGCAAATGACACGGGCACCAGAGTAAACTGCGGTGTTACCTGCTGTTTAGCCTGAGCCACATTATCGCATAAAAGGTTTCCTAAACTTACTGGTGTTGTATTTGAACTCGTATGTTTTAGATAATAACTTTTCCTCCATAATCTCACCCCTAGTTTTTAAAGACTGATATCGGAGAGGTGTGCGCGGACCCTATTTTTGGCTCGCTCTTGTTAATGGACTCAAATGACTATAAGAAATAACACATTTACTGCATCTCATTATGAAACGAATGGATTAAAATAATTATTCTGTTCAATATGCATTCATGATATATATACTAAGGCAAAACAAAAAGCAGCAAAACTTTATTCAAAGAATTGGACCCTCAGTGACCGTCAGATGCATAGTGCAGTCTGGTACTAAATACCTACCTGTTGAGTTCAAATATCACCGTCAAATGTTTTACCTAAAAGTTTTGTTGTCATCAATTTATTGTCACAGTATTTTTTTTTTGTTTCATGAGATTTTAGAGCTCAATTTTCGTATTCAATAATTACATTCAAAGTGAACTTGTGTTTCAAATATTCAGATTTATTATGGCTATTGTGATATTTTCTCTAACCTGTGTAAAAATGATTACATAACCATTATTATCTTTTGTTTCTGTTGCAGTAAATTTTTATTTTTTTTTACTGATACCTAGCTATTATTAATACCTCATATTTCCCCCCCAAACACATTAGGACTCAAATAATATAATTTTTTTTCTTGAAAACACTGCATTATTTTGAAATTGTACAAATTCTGTCATCATGAAAATAACATGTAAAAGATTTATCACAAAAGATTAGTCACTTGACTTTAGTTTTTCCCCTTCAGATAATCTAGCCAGAAATTGTGCCAATTCAGTCACTGTCTTTACCCTGGCCACTCAAATGTCTTTATCCCCTAGGTAGGATACAACCCTATTTAAGGATTTATATATTTGTTATCATAAATCTGCATTTGTCTTTTGGGGAAAATTGTGTCATTTTGATCTGCATGGATGACATTCCTAAGTCAGATTTTGCCAGGTACTGACAGCATTTTGATTTGGTGGTAAAATAAGCCAACACTGGCTCTCTGATGCCTAAGGCTTGTTGAAGAGGAGTTAAATGTTCCTCTGTGTAGTTGTCGGTGGCTTGTTAACAGGGACGTAATGTTCCAATTGAAACT